GAGTGTGTGTGAGAGTGAGTGTGTGAGTGTGTGAGTGTGTGAGTGTGTGTGAGAGTGAGTGTGTGAGTGTGTGAGTGTGTGAGTGTGTGTGAGAGTGAGTGTGTGAGTGTGTGAGTGTGTGTGAGTGTGTGAGTGTGTGAGTGTGTGTGAGAGTGAGTGTGTGAGTGTGTGAGTGTGTGTGTGAGTGTGTGTGTGTGTGTGAGTGTGTGTGTGAGTGAGTGTGTGTGAGTGTGTGTGTGAGAGTGAGTGTGTGAGTGTGTGAGTGAGTGTGTGTGAGAGTGAGTGTGTGAGTGTGTGTGTGTGAGAGTGAGTGTGTGAGTGTGTGAGTGTGTGTGAGTGTGTGTGTGAGTGTGTGAGTGTGTGTGTGTGTGGGAGTGTGTGAGTGTGTGTGAGAGTGAGTGTGTGAGTGTGTGAGTGTGTGTGAGAGTGAGTGTGTGAGTGTGAGTGTGTATGAGTGTGTGTGGGAGAGTGTGTGAGTGTGTGTGGGAGAGTGTGAGAGTGAGTGTGTGTGAGTGTGTGAGTGTGAGAGTGAGTGTGTGTGTGAGTGTGTGTGAGTGTGAGTGTGTGAGTGTGTGAGTGTGTGTGAGAGTGAGTGTGTGAGTGTGTGTGAGTGTGTATGAGTGTGTGTGGGAGAGTGTGTGAGTGAGTGTGTGGGAGAGTGTGAGAGTGAGTGTGTGTGAGTGTGTGAGTGAGTGTGAGAGTGAGTGTGTGAGTGTGTGAGTGTGTGTGAGTGTGAGTGTGTGAGTGTGTGTGTGTGTGAGTGTGTGAGTGTGTGAGTGTGTGTGTGTATGAGTGTGTGTGGGAGAGTGTGTGAGTGAGTGTGTGTGTGTGAGTGTGAGAGTGTGTGTGAGTGTGTGTGAGAGTGAGTGTGTGAGTGTGTGAGTGTGTGTGAGTGTGTGTGTGAGTGTGTGTGTGTGAGTGTGTGTGAGTGTGTGTGTGTGAGTGAGTGTGTGTGTGTGAGTGTGTGTGAGAGTGAGTGTGTGAGTGTGTGTGTGTGAGAGTGAGTGTGTGAGTGTGTGAGTGTGTGTGAGTGTGTGTGTGAGTGTGTGAGTGTGTGAGTGTGTGTGGGAGTGTGTGAGTGTGTGTGAGAGTGAGTGTGTGAGTGTGTGAGTGTGTGTGTGTATGAGTATGTGTGGGAGAGTGTGTGAGTGAGTGTGTGTGGGAGAGTGTGAGAGTGAGTGTGTGTGAGTGTGTGAGTGAGTGTGAGAGTGAGTGTGTGTGTGAGTGTGAGTGTGTGAGTGTGTGAGTGTGTGAGAGTGAGTGTGTGAGTGTGTGTGTGTGAGTGAGTGAGTGTGTGTGAGTGTGTGTGAGTGTGTGTGAGAGTGTGTGTGAGTGAGTGTGAGAGTGTGTGTGAGTGTGTGTGAGTGTGAGTGAGTGTGTGAGTGTGTGAGTGTGTGTGAGTGAGTGTGTGAGAGTGTGTGTGTGTGTGAGTGTGTGAGTGTGTGTGAGAGTGAGTGTGAGAGTGTGTGGGAGAGTGTGTGTGAGTGTTTGTGTGAGTGTGTATGAGTGTGTGTGAGTGTGAGACTAAGTGTGTGTGGGAGAGTGTGTGTGTGAGTGTGTGTGAGAGTGAGTGTGTGAGTGTGAGTGTGTGTGTGAGTGTGTGAGTGTGTGTGAGTGTGTGTGAGAGTGTGTGTGAGTGTGTGTGTGTGAGTGTGTGTGAGTGTGTGAGTGTGTGTGAGAGTGAGTGTGAGAGAGTGTGTGTGAGTGTGAGTGTGTGTGAGAGTGAGTGTGAGTGTGTGAGTGTGTGTGTGAGTGTGTGAGAGTGAGTGTGTGAGTGTGTGAGTGTGTGTGAGTGAGTGTGTGAGTGTGTGAGAGTGAGTGTGTGAGTGTGTGAGTGTGTGTGTGAGTGTGTGTGAGTGAGTGTGTGAGTGTGTGTGTGAGAGTGAGTGTGTGAGAGTGTGTGAGTGTGTGTGTGAGTGAGTGTGTGTGTGTGTGAGTGTGTGAGTGAGTGTGTGTGTGAGTGTGAGAGTAAGTGTGTGTGGGAGAGTGTGTGTGTATGTGAGTGTGTGAGAGTGTGTGAGAGTGAGTGTGTGAGTGTGTGTGAGTGTGTGTGAGAGTGAGTGTGTGTGTGTGTGTGAGTGAGTGAGTGTGTGTGTGTGTGTGTGTGTGTGAGTGTGTGTGTGAGTGAGTGAGTGAGTGTGTGTGTGAGAGTGAGTGTGTGAGTGAGTGTGTGAGTGTGTGTGTTTAATCCCTTCAGTCGTGTCTGACTCTGAGACCCCATGGGCTGTAGCACGCCAGGCTCCTGTGTCCATGGGATTCTCCAGGCGAGAATACTGGAATGGGTTGCCATTTCCTCCTCCCGGCGATCTTCCCCCCCAGGGATCGAACCTGCATCTCTTATGTCTCCTGCACTGACAGGCAGGTTCTTTACCACTAGTGCCACCTCGGAAGCCCAGGGAAAGGGTCTTACTAAAGGGGAAATCTAACTAAACAGGCTAGTAGACAAAACAGAGTTGGTTTTTCTGTTGTTATTGTTTAAGACTTAATTCTTTTGTTTTAATGACAGACTCCTACCTCTTCTGTATTAGCTTTTTAAAGATAATATAATGGATCAAACCTCTAAATTGTACGTTTGAACCAAATCGAAATTTCTTATTTAAGGTGACCATAAATTTTATTATTCTCTGTGAGCTGACATTCCGGGTGTTGTTAGAATTTCAAAGCATTCTGTGACTTCAAAGAAGTCAGATTGGTAAATTGGATGCTTGCACCCCCACAAGCAGGACCCGCCTTGCAGGCTCGGTGAACGTGGGGTGAGATCCCAGGGCCTTACCAAGGCCGGGCGGCCCTGGCTGGCCTGGGTCCACACCTCTCGGACTCCGTATCCCTGAGGTCCACTCTCAGTGCCTGGTTGGGCCTCAGAGCCTTTGCACTGCTGTCCTGCCAGTGAAACATGCTTCCCCTGGTGTGTGCACCCTGCGTGCATGCTAAGTCCTTTCAGTCATGTCCAACTCTGCAACCCCATGGACTGTAGCCCGCCAGGCTCCTCTGTCCATGGGAGTCTCCAGGCAAGAATACTGGACGGGGTTGCCGTGCCCTCCTCCAGGGGATCTTCCCCACCCAGGGACAGAACCCACCTCTCTCAAGTCTCCTGCATTGGCAGAGGGGCTCTTTACCACTAGCGCCAACTGCTGTTTGCAGCGCTGCCTCCCTTTTACAGGGTCCCTTGTGAGCCGGTTCACGGCCACCTCTCCAGCACCAGCTTCCTCTGGTCTTGCTCTCTAAGCCCAGCTTCAGAGACTTCATGACCCAGGAACTTGCCTTTCCTGCTCACCTCAGGGCCTTTGCACTTGCTCTTCCCGCCACTTGAGGCGCTGCTCCCCCTTTTGTTGTTGTTTGTTTTTACTTTGTTTTGTTTGCCGTGCTGCACAGCCAAGCAAAAATCTTAGTTCCCCACCCAGGGATCGAGCCTGTGCAGAAGCTGAGAGTCCTAACCACTGGACGACCGGGAAAGTCCCTGGGTCAGTCTTTTATCCTATATCAATGGTCAGCGAACTATGGCCCTTTGCCCATTGTCTACCGTCCTCAAGCAAAAAAAAAGAAAAGAAAAGTCCTCACAGTATTCACATTATTAAATGATTGGAAACAAAATTAGAAGAGTAATAGTTTGTGAACGGTGAGCATTTATATGAAATTCAAATCTCGACATCCCTAATGAGCGTTTAAGGGGGCAACAGAAGAGGAGATGGTTGGATGGCATCACTGGCTCGATGGACATGAGTCTGAGCAAACTCGGGGAGATGGTGAGGGACACAGAAGCCTGGCGCTGCAGTCCATGGGGTCACAAAGAGTCCCTAGCGACTGAGTAACAGCAGAGAGTTTTTGGCGAACACAGTCCTATTCACCCGTGGATTCTCTGTGGCTTCCAGGCTGTGATGGCAGAGCTGAGCAGCCGCAACAGAGAACAATAGCTGGTAAGGCTGAAAGTATTTCCTCTCTGGCCCTCTATAGAAATGTTGGTGGGCCGCGGACTTGGGCCCAGCGGGTCCCTGGAGGCTGAGTGCACCAAAACGCGCAGAGATTGGGAGGGACAGAGTCGGGGCGCGCAAGATCACAGAGCCACGCATCTGAGCCAGGAGGGGGCTCCCGAGTCAGTGTCCGCGTGTCCCCAGGGTCAGCCCCTCGCAGTGCCTGACCCCCGGAGCCCGGCCAGGGCAGAGCGGGCCGCCGGGTGGACCTCGCGGTTCCGAAGGCTGTCGATCAGCGGGTTCAGGACGGGCGTGACGACGAGGCAGAGAACAGCTACTAGCTTGTGGCGCTCGGCGGGGCGCGCGGGAGCCCCGGGACCGCGGGTCCAGGGCGGTCCCCGTGCCGTCGAAGAGCCCCAGCGCGGCCAGGTGGGAACCGCAGGGGGACAGCGCCTGGAGGCGGCTCTGGGCGGCGGGCAGGCGGCCCATGGCCGCCGGGATCGAGGCGTAGGAGGCGAGAACGAAAGCCAAAGAGCTGGCGAGGATGGGCGCGCACAGGCCGGAGACAGCGTGCGGTCGGCCGCGGTGTCTGCGCCCGCGTCCTCGGCGCGGCGGGCAGCTCGCAGAAGAAGCGGTCCACCGGGGCCGCCCGGCGCAGAGGCGCCATCCCGGCCAGGAGGAGGGCCTCGCAGCGGCCCGGGGAGAGGCCCACGCGGAACTGCGCCCCGGCCGGCCCGCACGTGCGCCGGAGCCTGCGGGAGCCGGGCGCTCGCCCAGGCCGTGGCCGGCGGCGCCAGGTGGCCCGGCAGGCGGTACCCCGGCCGGTGCGGCCGCTGGTCCGGGGCGATGAGCCCCAGCAGGGCGCCGTCGCCCAGCGCCGCGGCCAAGCAGGCCGCCAGGAGTGCCGTCCGCAGCACGCGCCGCAGCAGGAAGTCCGAGGTCCCCGCCTGGTTCCCGGCGGCCCGGCCCATCCTGGGGGAGACCGGGGAGCCTGCGGCTCCCCCGCGGGCCCCGGAGGGGCTGAGGGGCTGGGCGCCGGGCTTTTCCCTGGGCCTCTTTGCCCCGCAGTCCTCTCCCGCCCCGTCCGCTCACCTGCTCTTTCTGGCGCCGTCTCCCCATCGCATCTCCGGCTGCGGATCCTCTCCCGAATCGCTGATTTCCCCTCTCGCCCTTTCCCCTTACTTCCCTCCTTGATTTCTCGCCGTTTCTCGCCCCTCCCTTGTCTTCCCGCTTCCTGGCTTTATTCGCCTCTCTGTCTCTCTCCTTCTGCCCAAGCCTTGTAAGAATGAGGGCTGACGCGCACGTACGAGAAGGTGGTACACACGTGTCACCCCTTCCCCCCTTTCTCTCCCACACTCTCAGTCGCCGCACTTCTCGACTTGCTCTCTCCCTGTGGACTTCTCCGTCTTCTGGGCTCTTCCTGCACCCCGTCATTCCCTCCCCTCCATCTTCCTCTCTCATCATCCTTCCAGACTTTTCCTCTGGCTCCGCCCCCCTCCGGACCAGCCGCCGAGGTCCGGCCATGGTGGGGACAGCCAAGTCGGAGACTCTGTTCCTCCTCCCCCAGCACCAGGGCGGGGAAGGGTCGCGCCAAGGGTGGACGGTGAACAGAGGAGACCCGTGGCCCGTCTCTCCTGCCCGACGTCTGTGACTGTCACGCCGTGAAGAGGAGGAGGATCCTTGCCGTAACTACCCGGGGACTGAGCGTTGGAGGCAGAGAACACAGCAAAGTGCAAGGCTCCCGAGGCAGGAACGCGCTTGGTGGGCGGAACAGATAGGATGCCGCGGCTGAGTGCTGTCTGTAAGGGAAGGGCGACGGAACCGAGATGGAAGGTGGACCCTGTGGGGACGAGCAGACCATGCACAGAGGCGACCAGACGGCACAAGACCCATCTGTAAAACCGACGGCAGCTGGAGAGAAGTTGCGGATTCTAGTCTTGCAGTGAGTATGGGTCTTATGCACACGCTGTGTGCATAGCCGTGCTTACAGCTGGACCACTGTAGTGAACCTGAAATTTAAGAACACTTGTTCTCCAGACTTTTGGACACTGGGGGAAGGAGAGGGTGGGACCAACTGAAAGAGTAGCATTGACATATGTGTGCGCTGTGTGTGTGTGTGTGTGTGTGCTCAGTCGTGTGTGGTCTTTGCAATCCCATGGACTGTAGCCCACCAGGCTCCTCTGTGGGATTTTTCAGGCAAGAATACTGGAGTGGGTTGCCATTCCCTTCTCCAGGGGATCTTCCCCGCCCAGGGATAGAACCTGGGTCTCCTCCATTGCCGGCAGATTCTTTGCCAGCTGCGCCACCAGGGAAGCCCAATATACGCAGTACCATGTGTCGAATAGACAGCTAGGGGGATGTTGCTCTACCACACAGGGGGCTGGGCCCGGTGCCGTGTGATGGTCGAGCGGGGTGGGAGGAGGTTTAAGAGGGAGGGGACATGTGTGTCCCTATGGCTGCTTCAGGATGCTGTGCAGCAGAAACTAGCGCAACTTTGTAAGCAATGACGTGCACTCAGTCCTCAGACTCTGTGCGACCCCCGGACTGCAGCCCGCCAGGCGCCTCTGTGCGTGGGAGTCTCCAGGCAAGAAGACTGGAGTGGGTTGCCATTTCCTCCTCCAGGGGATCTTTACCATCTGAGCCACCAGGGAAATCCAAAGCCATTATACTCCAATTCAAAAAAAGAAAAAAGAAACCCTGTTTTCCAAGCAGTCCCAAATTTTGGAAGGGAACTTGATATTTTAGACTGACTGTGTTTTTAGGGGTTTGGGAGTCCAAAAAAAAAAAAAAAGACTATATCCAACAGGCAGTTGTATACCTGAGTCTGGAGTTTGGGAACGTTGATGAGTGGAGACTGAGGTTCGAGATGATCAGACACCCTCACCTCTGAAGGCCTGCTGAAGCCGTGGGTGCGGTGAGTCGTGGCTGGAGAGGTGCGTGCCGTCGTGTGTGCTTTTGGTGCCCGGAGTCTTCAGAGAGTGGACACTATGCCCGCCAGTGCTGCCCTCCCGCACACACTCACACAGTTTCGTGTATCGGGATTTCTGGAGCACAAAACCCCATGCTGCCTACCTGTCAGTCCCCCCAAATTCCACAGGCTCTCACACACCCACCTCCTTCCTCTTGAGGCAGCTTTGAAGCTCCAAGTCCCCACCGCAGGGCAGCCTCTGGTGCCAGGAGCAAGGACGGCCTGTGTGTCTGGGTTCCTGATGCCCGAGCTCAGACGCTGAGGAAGGTGGCCAGACGTCCAGACCGGCCTCCTTGCAGGAAGAATTAAAGTGCACTGACTGGCTCCTCGGAGAACCTTGTCACCGGGGACTGGAGGAAGCCACAGACTCGCTGTGCCCAGCCGCCGCGCAGGGCTCTGGGCAGCGCCCTTGACCCCCATAGGCCCCCTGGTACTTGGCCATCGCTCCCGACAACGCTTCGGGGGAGAGCTCAGCACAAGAGCACCGGCTCCCCCGGGCTCTGCAGGGAACCCCGCCTGCCCTCCCTGGAGGTGGGCATTGAAGGCGCACCTGTGCGGTGCCCTGCGGAGGAGCTGTGCTTATTTCTTTGTCTTGTGTAATTCCACCCTCCTCGCTCAGCTCTCTAAATACCTCAGTCCACTTCTGCGGATGTCCCGTCCCGTCTCCCTCCCCCTGGGTGCCATCAGTTCAGTTTCTCATCCTCCTCTGTGTCTGTATCTCTGCCTTTTCCACATCATCTTTCTCTGTTGCCGTCTCTGCAAAGTCTCTACCGGTCTCCCGGCCACCTCAGTTCTGTCTTTCGTTCCGTCTCATTTCTCGTTGTCTCTCTGACGCCCATGGTCAATACCTGCCCTTCTGTGGGTGTCTTCTACCCCTGGCTCTCTCCAGCATCCTCCGTTTGCCTGTCCCTTTCTCTCCTAGAATCTCCTTCCTTCTGAATGTGCTGTCCTTCCATTCTTTGACCTTCTCTCCCACCATATCTTCCCTCTTTCTCCCATGTCACCCTCTTTTTTCCTTCTTCTTATCCAGCCTTCAAAATAGTATGATTTTTTTTTTTCAGGGTTGCCAAAGCCAATTTTGTAGGCACGTTTTGCATTCAGGAACTGTCCTAAATTGGGGAGACAGGCACGTGAATGTTGTACAAAGTCACCATAGTACCCATAGACACACCCTAAACACACCATAAAGCATTGTGGATTCAGGAATCATAGATGTGGGGTTTGGGGCGGAAGAGAGGCAGCATTATCTCTGCTCTGTCGCTCCAGGACCAGCTCGGGCCCTGTCATGTGGCCTGTACTAAGTGACTCTTGAGGCTGGAACAAGGGCATACACAGACTTCACGTGTGGCTGAAGCCACAGCATGTCCCCAGTTGGGACCTTTCCTCTTCTTTATAAAAACAATGGGTCCTGACTTCACATCAATATGTTTCAAGGTCACCTTGGCACAAGTTGGTTAGCATCATCTGCCTCCCTTAGCTGTCATAGAATCCACAATCTCAATGTTGTTTCAGTACCAGGGACAGATTTTAGTCAGTGGCGGGGCCCGGCAGATAAAGGGAAGAGATTTGAGCAGAGAAATGTTTGCTTGCATTACGGGTGTGATGTATTAACCTTTACTGCAGAGTTTATAACTTATGGATAAAGAAGCAATACAGAAAAAAAAAAAAAGAAGCAATACAGAGTAACTTGGAGAGTTAGGGACACAGCAGTAGTTAAATATGCCAGCTATGATTATGAATTTCCCAGTCCTTTACAACATATGGGGACATGACACCTCCCGCCTAGGGGACAGTCTCGAGTCAGCTAGGTCAGGATAGAAGGAAACCAGGATCGCCAGCGGGAGACTTACCGCCCCACCTTTTCCTCGAATTGTGCAGCCACGCTACGCTGCAAGGGGGCGTCACATCGGGGGTACTGCTCTCCATCTTGCCTGTACCCAGTACTTAGCGACGGGTCTCAGGGCTACTCGCTGTTAATATTCCACTCTTACCAAATGGGGCCACAAGACCGAGTATTGGAGAGGAAGGGGGCGATGCTGGGAAAATCACCGCTAGTCCCTGACTGTTGGTGCACATTCTCACTGGGTAGGCCAGGACAGAGAGCTGACTTCTCCTTCCCAGGGTCACTTCTCAGGGATGTGTGTGCAAGGAGAAAGCTTGCAGAAGCAGAAGAACATCTCCCACACATGGAGCCAGCTTCCTCCCATTGACCAGAAGAGAAGCAGATCCTTGCAGCTGAGTGTTCCTCTCCTGTTTTACAGCCCACCGCACATGCAGCTCTCGCTAATGAGCTCTTTGTGGTCCTCCCTCTGACTCTCAGAGGGCGTGGATAACCGAGGCAACACACCCGAAGCGTTTGGGTCTGCTTCAGCCGTGAGTGGCAAAGTGCTTTGTCTCTGACTCAGAACCTAATGTCTTTTGAGGGGGAGGCCCTGCCCTCAGCATGTGGGATCTTCCTTCCCCAGACCAGGGATCAAACCCCTGCCCCCTGCATTGGAAGCACGGAGTCTCAACCACCCATGGACACCTGAGAAGTCCCACCTCATGTTTGTTTTTCAGCATCCATTTAATAGAGGAGTTTGTAAGTAGGTCAAATCCAAATCTTTCACACTTCCTCTTTTTAAAAAAAAAAATCTATTGGCGTATAGTTGATTAAAAATGTTGTGATAGTTTCAGGTGTAAAGCAGAGTGGTTCAGTTTCTCATACACATGTTCTCATTGGTTTTCAGGCCCTTTTCTCACATAGGTTATCACGGAATGGCGAGTCCAGGGCCCTGTGCTCTATGGTAGGTTCTTGCTGGTCTCATGTATAGTGGTGTGTGTGTTCACCCTGCATTCCTGATTTATCCGCACCCTTCCCACACTCTTCTTGACAGAGACAGTGTCCAGGCTGTACAAGCGGCAGGGACCACGAGGGCGGCCGCCTCAGTGCCTCTGAAATACACAGGCCACCTTCAGCTTCTGGAGGGAGGCGCTGAGGCAGCCGCGGAGGCTGGGGTCGGCCTTGCTGGGGGCGGGCCGCTGGGCCCCGAAACCAGCTGTGGGAGTAGGTCAGCACGGGCTGGGACCGCCTGTCCACACCTCCCCCTCCAGCCACTCAGAATTTCTGGGACAGTCCCTTTCTCATCCGCACCACACACACACGCATACACGCACACACGGAACCTAGGCTCTAGCCTTTGTACTGCTTAACGGGTCTTGGGTTCCTGGTAACTCAGTGGGAACAATCCGCCTGCCAATGCAGGAGGCTCGGGTTCCACCCCTGGGTCGGGAAGATCCCCTGGAGGAGGACACGGCAGCCCGCTCCAGTATTCCTGCCTGGAGAATCCCATGGACAGAGGAGCCTGGCGGGCTACAGTCCATGGGGTCACAGAGTCGGGAATGACTTAAGGACTAAACAGCAATTGCCTCCTGCTTTACTTCCTCAGAGGAAATAGTATATGATTGCTTTTTTAAAAATAAGTTTCGTGTGTTTGAGTTTGTGTGTGTATGTCTGTGTATGTGTCTGTGTGTGTGTGTCTAACACATCATCCATAGAATTATTGCGAGGACAGAG